TACTGTGGAATGACATCTATACAGGTCAAACCAGCCATATATTGTTTCATAGCCTCCTAGTTTCCGTGTCATTTGGTTTCTCACTTTTCCGCATCAATCTGGTCACATTTAGAAAAGCTAGCATTCATTCGATTTGCTATATCACACGGATAAAAACGTGAAGTTTGTCATTCCGAATACTGTATTACCTGAAACGGTTTTAGGGTGGCGTGATCTTGGTTTCTGATCCGGGACTGATTTGATCTACATCAGATCTATGCACTGGCGTGTGATATAATCCACGCGACACAGTTGATTTCAACTGGCGCCATCACTATATGATCACATGCAATATCCAACTGTGTGAGCTGTCAGTAATTGACTGGAAGACTTACGGCGTCTGATGAAACCTGGTAACGTGTTCACGGAGCTTACAAATCAATAGCATGACGCCAACAGTTTCTCTTTCTTTCAATCTCTCAGTCTCACTGTTTGCTTTAGAATGTCACAAAAGAAAGAACCCAAATTCACCTGAGCTTGGAGACAATAATTTGTCATATCGGTGAAGTTTGTTAACTCTTGATAGGCTACAACATCTTCCATTCGATGCATGCTGCTGTGTAACCCCAATTTCATTTCTGTATGCGAGACCAAATGGATTTACCGGTCCTACTGTTTCCCATCGGGCTTTGTATACTTTGTTCTCTCGTTCTAGGGAATACACACGGATCGCTCAATCGTTGCTTGAGGCACTGGACACAGATAAAAATGAGAAAATCTCTGTGAATGAACTGATGGAACTGACGGATTGTGAGGAGTTTCGCTCCTCGTTGAAAGAGCTAATTCGGAAGTACGATACGAATGGTGACGGAGAGTTAGATGTGAATGAACTACGCCGTTGGATCCAGTCAGAAATGGTTGTGGTTGTGAAAGGTCAGATGCCAATGTGATGAACGTGAAGCACGGACTAACCACTCACGAACTGATTGATGGTGGTTGAACAGGTGCATCTGCCGGTTTCTCTCTCTCTCTCTGCCGTAATTTTGGTAGAGCCGAATAAAAACCTTGTTCGTGATGACCTATTTGTTATCCCGTTCGCAGTTGGATCAATTAAAGTGCTTCGTAAAGTGGTACGTCATGGTTTC